TTGTCTTTCTGTGTCTGACTTATTTCACTTAGCATAGGACCCTTCTAGAGAGAAATTTATAGTATAAAAATGTTTAAATGCTTATATTAGGAAAATAAAAAGTCAAAAAACACTTATAAAGCTCCTACCTCAAGAAACTAGCAAAAGAAGAGCAAATTAAACACAAAGAAAGAAAGATATAATTAAGTTAAAAACAAAAGTCAGGAAAGATTATTAGCAAAAAATTATAAATGCAATGAAATAGTTCAAAGATAGTTCTTTGAAAAGATTAATAAAATTGATAAATTTTAGTTGGATTAATCAGGAAAGATAGATAAAACACACATAATTCCAATATCAGGAGTGAGAGGTCATTACTACAGAACCTTCAGACAGTAAAAAAGTAATAAAAAAATGTTTTAAACAACTCTATGTCAAGTTAAGAAGCTAAAAATACAGAGTTTATTCAATCAATTTAAGATCTAGCAAAAAGCCACGGGAAAGAGATGATTTACACTAGCACACTAGAAGGGTTTGCAAGTGCACTATGCAAATCCTGTACTGAGTAGTGTTCATAGGTCCGGTTTTTCTCTGTCTCATCAATCCTCATTGCTGATTGTATGGTTTTAAAGACTAAAGGATCTTGAGCAAGGAGTCTCAGTAATATGTTACCTGAGGGCAATACCCATACTTGCAGGATGATTATATATAGCATAGCTCTTTGTGGTCCTAATAAACAGCTATAAATTTTACTCTTATTTCTTGGGCAAAAGATGGATGTTGCCAAAATGAATATTACCTATGGGTGATCAATTTAAAACTTCATAAATGAGTGCTCCATATACCTCATGCATATTTAGTGTATCATGAATATTTGGTCCCTCCATCAGTTTTCTATCCTTTTCTATCTTCCTGCTTCTCCCACAATATTAATAAAAACAATAACAAGAATAATAATAGCCTTTCATTGAATGTCTTTGTGTTGGTGCAAGGCAAGGATGCTTTATGAAAATTGTTTTCTTTAATCCACCAGAAGTTCTATAAGTAATATATTATTTTCCATACTAGAGGCCTGGTGCACTAATTCATGCACAGGTAGGGTACCGCTGGCCCACCCCAATTGGGGCCAATAGGGCCGGGCCAGGCCAGCTTGGGGGAGGGGATGTGGGAAGTTGGCTGATTGGGGTATGGGAGGCCAGCTGGGTGGAGGGGCCCTGAATGGTTGGTGGGCTGGCCCTGCCCCCTGGTTGAACTGTGATCGAACTCCTGGTCAAGGGGACAATTTGCATGTTACCCTTTTATTATATAGGATTTTATGGTTGAGGTATTAGAGTCTCATTGATGTGACTTCCTCTGAGCAGAGACTTTGCTGATTTTGATCTTGTTCCTAAGCAGAAAGGTGAAGGACAGATACCTCTGAGAAGAGATGATTGTATACGAAAAAAAAAGAATACCTTTACCTGGTTTTGTGCCTGTTTTTGAGACTGTTGTTTAAATAAAGCCCAGTGGCGATGGAAGTCAGCAGTACCAGAAGTGTCAAAGCTGCTAGTATACTCATTATGATGAGTGTCATACTGTTGGACTCAGCAACTGAAATACAGATGCCCACCAGTCAGTTTCCCTGGAGAGAGTTGTTCACTTCCTCCTCAGTGAATCCCCAATCATGTTCCCTCTAACAGTAATACATTGCAGATTCTCACTCTATTTCCCTTTCAAAGTATCGATAATTAGTAAGTTCAAGCCTCCCTCCAAATGTTATCTTGCTCATCTTACTTGCTCAGAAAA